TCCAGTCCTCAGGCACCTCTCCTGATCTCCAGGACCTTTCCAAGGTGATGGAGAGTGGCCTAGCGATACCATCCGCCAGCTCCCTCAGCACTCGTGGGTGCATCCCATCGGGGCCCGTGGATTTATGGATGTCAAGTTTGCCTAAATGACCTCTAACCCGATCCTCCTCGACCAAGGGAGAGTCTTCCTTTCTCCAGCCTTCCTCTCTTGTCCCCAGGGTCCAGGATTCCTGAGGGATGGCCTTAGCAGTGAAGACTGAAGCAAAGGCAGCATTCAATAACTCTGCCTTTGTTACCAGGGCACCCGCCCCATTCACCAGCGGGCCCACATTTTCCCTAGTCTTCCTTTTGCTATTGATGTATTTGAAGAACAGGGATATCCCTGCATATCCCAGGGATATGCAACACTTCTGTCTAGGGACTGCTCCCTCAAAAGGCCTCGCTCTTTACTCACCTGCAAAAAAGTCTTTCATATCCCTCACTGTTTTTTTAGACTTGTTATAATGAAAAGCATTAGTAAACTCATGCAAATCATAGTGTTATCTAACCATTTCAACACTTTTTCAAAGCATGCAATACAAAGTCAACACTAATTTCCTATGAAGGAAGTTCTGTCTAAGTTAATTTTCTTGCCATTATTACCCATTCAGGAACAAATCCACAAAATCCAACAGTATGCAACTATACAGAGGTCATACGATACTCAAAGTACAACGTATGCAGAGCCTTGGATTGTGGTCACCCCAACTCCAGAAATTTTTACATCTGTATTTTTTACATAGTTTTGGGTTCATGTATCATTAGTGCTTGAAAAAACATGCAAGTGAAATAGTAAGTTAAAATACAACTTCAGTTCTACCTGAGGTACTTATGCTCATTAGTTTTTGGTGGAATGTTTTCCTTTTAATAGTATATATTGCTTCTGATATTGCATGTGTGAATATATATAATTAGCTGTGTACTCTACTACTCTAAAACTGCAGGTCAAGGACCTAGAAACCACCATCTCGAACAACAATGAAGTCAGGGACAAATACAAACTCTTGAAGAAACAGCTCTCAGGGATAGAAAGTAGATGAATTCTAAAGAGGTATACCATACAGAATTAAAATATTACCTAATATTTTGTGAAGTAGGCACCGAAAGACTTATTTGAGAACTTCCATGCTTCCATACCACCTCAAAATTTTTTCTTGAGACTTTTCAAGAAAATTGGTGTTACAGATCTACCAGTGAGTCACATAAGCATTTGAAGACATGGAAAAATCAATTACTCAATTTTACAAGAATTTACAAAGATTTTTTTACAAGACTTCTTACAACTAAATATGCATATACATACACAATATGGGAAAAGGTTACCTTTCTATGCTTTGCACCATGATAGTGCCACTGAGGCCTTATAGAACTCATACGTGGAACTTTAAAAACCTGAAAGGATAAACTGAAAACATATCATCAGTTTTGCTATAACTGATCAACTATAAAATATCTGTAAGAACTGGAAACAAACCTACGCTTACAGCAAGAACTGTCAAGGTTTTCATTTGCTTAAACACCACAAGTCACACAAAATTCAGAATAACAGCACACCATTAACATGACCAGAAGTAGCATGCATCATACCTGTAAACAATACTTGAATACATCTTTAAAAATAAGAAGTGGTATGAACCTTTTAAGAGTCTCTCCTTCACTCCCCCCTCCACTGTCTGGATTCTTAGCTTTCTAAACATCTCCTCACTGGAAAGCCAACAGAAAGACATGATTGCACAGTGCTTAGGAGGGAACAGAGACAGAACTATATCCTAGAATGACTGCAGTTGCGCTCATTGTTACATTAAAGGGGATCAGAGAAACAACGCTGGAAGTCATACGCGCTCTGCTAGGAATAACAGACATGCATATACAGTCAGAATGATTAATACATGAAGATACAGATCTAAAGATATTTACTATCTTCAGCTAAAATACCAATATACACCTGTATATTGGTACACCTCTACCAATATACACCCTCTATCTACTATCCCACATATTTAATACACCAGACAAAGCCCACCAGAATATGATTTACAAAAGACATAAAACATATTATGACTCAGAGTTTCATCCTCTAAAGAGGCAAGAGCCTTTAAAATTGCAATAAACACCTAACAGATTTGAAAGCTAGCAAGTAAGGACCATAATACCGCAGTTTATTCTTGAGCTGTCACAAATGAATTCACCACGTCATACACAACTAGCTCTTACAGGGGCTGGCCAAGTTCTTCTCCACATTAACAGCATCTCTAACATACAAGTTTGCTGCACTGCAGCCAAGTCAGTTCCACACAAATTTCTACAAGCATAGTCTTTAATACCACAAGCCTGTATTTTAGCCTATATTCTGCAAAGACATCAAGAAATTTACTCACTTCACAATAATGAAATAATTTTTCAGATTCCGGTTTAGCATCTGCTGGCTTAACTTCTTCGTTTACAGTGTTCATCTCGCAAAACTAGCTCAAGGCACACAGGGGTGGAAAAAAAAGAGTCCACTTCTTGTTTACATACTACTTTTCGGCGAACAACTCCGGGGCGGAGAGGCAGGAAGTGTTACTCGGATGAATTACATAAAGTAAGCTGATTTTTTTTTCAACGCGTTTCTAGAGAAAACAAACTCTCTCACCACTAGAACACCCTTATGACTTCAAGCTTCCCGTAAACGTAGCCCCTCGTGTTTGCCTCTTCACGGAGGCTTCACGGAGACGCCCGAGAGAAACTGGCCCCTAGAGAGCACCGCCCCCCCGCCGTGCAAACCCCCGCGCTGGCACCTTCCC